ATTATTTTTTATAAATTCAGTATAATTAGTAACCTAAGTTAGACACCCATATTTCGTGTAAATAAAAAATATAAATATAACATTACAATATAGCTTACATTATACTAATAATAGAGTAACATTTATACGTACTAATCTTATGAATGAATTTTTGCGAATGAATACCATTGCCATGTATTCATTCTACTGTGACTTTACACGTATATTTATACTGCAACTGTACATATTGAGCTATAGTTCGTGACAAAAATCAGCTGAAACGTAATAAGGCGCACTGGTGTTTGTATAATGACTATATCTAACCTTAGTTACGGGTCATTCAAAACAAAACCAAATGGAGCTAGAGACAATACTTCGAAAATGTGCTACAGTAAATAAATGTAAGCATTACTTTTAATTATTGATTATTAATTAAAGGATAGACGTTTTTAATATATCTGAACGTTATTATTATACGATCCATATGCTGTTTTTGTAGCAGAAACAAAGTTGGAAGAAAATGAAAAGAAAGAGGATGAATATTTTCAAAAAATATACGAACAATGGAAAGGCGCCAAAGCTAAAGATAAAGATTTAACTTATAAAGTGATTCCACAATTTTATTTCAAGGTAATTTATATAAATATAAAATATTTGAAAAATTTAAGTAACTGTTTGTTAATATATTTTACTTTTAGCTCCCAAGAGAAGACGAAATTTTACCGCAAAAATTGCGTGAAGAAACACGAGCACTATTTCTGCAAAGACGTTCGCGTCAATTACTAGATAATAATGAGCTTAAGGCATTATGGGTATTGCTAGATAAACATCATAGTCCACCTTTATCAGGGGAAGAACAATTAATTAATTATGAAGATTTTAAGAAAGTAGGAAAATTAGCTGGTGCAAAATGTAGTCCTTATTTCACTGCAGTTGTATTTGCTAAATTGCAACAAGGTGATCCCCATGGTAGAATTAGCATAATGGCATTGTTTAATTATGTTATGAGAAAAGTTTGGTTGCATCAAACAAGAATTGGTCTTTCTTTATATGATGTTACTGGGCAAGGATACCTTAGAGAATCAGTAAGTATTACTAATGCATCTTACAATAAATTATTGTAATTAACATAAAAATTCAATTTATATTGTTTCTGTTTTGCAGGATTTAGAAAACTATATTTTAGAATTAATACCAACTCTACCTCAACTTGAAGGGCTTGAAAAATCTTTCCATTCATTTTATGTTTGTACAGCAGTAAGAAAATTTTTATTTTTTCTGGATCCCCTTAGAACTGGTAGAGTTAGGATACAAGATATTTTGGCATGTAGCTTTCTGGATGATCTCTTGGAACTGAGGGATGAAGATTTACCTAAAGACTTGCAAGAAGCAAATTGGTTTTCAGCACCATCTGCTCTTAAAGTTTATGGGCAATATCTGAATCTTGACAGAGATCATAATGGAATGCTCAATAAAGAAGAGCTTGCAGGGTAATTTAAATGATTCATAAAATCTGCAAAAAGTGGTTGATGCATATGACAACTGTATAAAATTCCTCTTGATAGGTATGGCACAGGAACATTAA